CAAATAAAATTGTATTGTATTGTATTGTATTGACATGTTTTTTCCACAACCTTGAAACGTTTTTTCATGGTTGTACTACGATAAGAGACCAACACATTTTAATCCAGTACAAACAGAGAGCAACAATTGCTGATACAGGGGCACAGAAGACGGTTCTCAGAAATTGATATCAAGATATGCAAGGCCAGGAAGTTTTGAGGTAACGGTGCTAGATGTACCAAATAAATCCCCTTTTGGTGTCGCCAATGCTGCAGATTTCCTCAACCCAAATGAAGGCATTCAGGTCGTTGGACGTCTCAGTGGAAAAAGATGCTAATAAGAGAATTTTATTATAACTAAAAAAATGCAAATTATAATTGTGTTACATATCGGAAGTTTCTATTGCGCAGGTTTTGGGGTAAATATATTTTGTACATGTAAATATACTTTGTACTTTGTCTAAATATATGTTATAGAGCCCTGAATTTTATTTCAAATGATTTAAGATTTTTTTAGTCTCCTTGTCATTATTTTCATTGCTAAATACTGATTGAGACTAGTTGTGGTGGGTAAATGGACAGGTAAATTGTTCCTATGTATCTTTACATGGTTCCCATGCACATGATTTATTTGATTGACATTAGTCTTTTTGACAATACCTGCCATGAATGCATATCATAGCAATGAAAACAGTGGTACAGGAAAGTTGGAGCTGTTTTCATAGAATACCTGTATTCCACTCTACTCTAGCCTGTGTGCAGCCCAATATTAACCCTGGTTAATACAGACTTAACAACAGTTATGTTCAGCTGCATGCAGGCTACTCTACTCCAACCTTGACTTGAAATAAATAAAATAGATGTTATCAACATGTGTTGTGTTCAGTTTTAATACATGAGAGCACAATCCTTGGCCAATCGGAAGGCCAGATTTACGACCATTATTTTATATTGTTTCATGTTCAGTTTACCAAATCAGGAGTTATAGGAGGTACAGTAAAGCAAGGTAGTACTTTAGTGACAGAGAGTGAAACGTTTGAAGATGCATTGACAGAACTTTCCCACCATAAAGTTGCTGTGTACAACATCTTCCAAGACTAAATACATTGTCGGAGAGAAAAATCATCCATTTAAGTTAAGCATAGGAATTGCTGCTGCTGCCCTCGTATCTTGAAGCCAATGAAGCTGTATGGACTGTTATTGGCTGTCGCTTTCCTCCCACATGAAGTCAAAGACAAATCAGAGTTGAGTCAAAGTTTATTTATTTGTGACATCAGTAAACAGTTGTTACAACATCAAACCAAATTATATGTATGATAATTATCATCCTAAAAATGAAATGCAATGAACAAAAAGTTGTTTTTACTTTACAATTTTCTCATTTCTATCCTCCCTTAACGAGACGCTTCATATTCTAGAGTAAATGGATAGCTGACAATATTCTGAGAACTAAAACTAAGAGGTAAAAAAACCTTTAACAAAATTTAATTAACGTAGATGAAAAAGATAACGAGTTTCACTCGGAAATTAGAATAAGAACTTGTCCACTCTAAACACTGCAATTAATGCCTTGATTTGAGCATTGAGTTAACAGCCACTAAACTCCTAACAGTGGAAAAATGCAAGATTTCAATTTCAATGGAAATTGAAATTTTGCATGAGAAAGGAAAAAAAATAATGCACAGAAGTGATGCATATTCAGTTTATCAGGAGAATTAAAAAATAAACTAACTCATTAAATTTAGAATTTTTTAATGTTTAATTGGCAGTGAGTAATTGCCGAAGAGGTTCAAACTAGTGTCTATGACATTATTTTAGCTGGGCAGTTATAACATACATTAGTTGTTTTTATTAGCTTTCGCTGTATCTTAAAAGTCCTTTTTATCTCCCTTGTATGTTGCAGGGGTTCATAGACTGAGGATTAATGACATAACAAACAAGTGTGTAGCACTTGGGGATCCCTTAATAAGTTTCCTAGAGTATTATCCTAAGGGAATTAATATACTATTCACTCATCTTACTGGCTGTGGCGGTAGTGAAGATACACTAGTCTCACACACAGAACAAAACCTAACGCAACTCGTCTTACTCGTAAGAATACATTCCTTACGATGCTTAAATTAATCCATTTTTACTGCTGTTTACTTCTTCTCCTCTACATTCTTGCTTCTCCTCTTAAAAAACCCACTTCCCTTTTTGTCTTTCTTGTCAGGAGTTGAGGGTTTGGTTGGTGTGGTTGGTGCCTTAGAACATTCTTGTACATGTTTAATCCAGAAGTTGAGATCATCCTAACGAGAAAAACCATGACCATCAAAATTGGAAAGTTTTCTTTACAGAAAAGAACAAATTTTGAATGAGAAACTTAATTCAGAAAAAGTCCACAATGAATAAGAAGGAAACTTGAACACAATGTAAAAAGTTTGGAACTACATAGTGTACTCAGTGACATTCCTGAGGCCAGAACTCTGACGTAGGACTTGAGTCTGAAAACTTTCAGTATAGTTGCACTAAAACTTTTTAAGATGGTGTTTAAGTTTCCTTTTTATTCACTTGTTGTATTCAACAAAACCCCTAACTAGTAACCACTAGCACTTGTCATTATCACCAGAAATGAGCTTAAGTTTTACCTCGTCTTTAGCTTGAAACAAGAATTCTTGACCAGTACTTATTCTGCAATAGAAAACAAAATGGATATTAGCAACACAAATGAAGGTACACATTCTCACAAGAATCAGTTATTGATGGATGGTTTGAAATTTCTAAATACACCAAATTTGTTCCAGATTTCCACAAGTGCATACTCTTGCACACTGTCTTCTCATGGATTGTTATCAGGGTTCGTGCAGATCCTTTAAAAGCCCTTGAATTTAGGATACAAATTCAAGGGCATTTGAAAAGCTCTTGAAAACATAAAATCATTGAAAATTCCTAGAATACTCGTTAAAAAGTCATTGATTTTTTCTTGGGAATTCAGAATCCTGTGTTCTCGAACAAACTTTGTACACACCTGAATCGGAAGACATGTTTTCTCTTGGTATAATCTGTAGCTACTTCACAGACACAGTTAAGGGTTGATAATGGGTGAGCTGCAGGGTGCTCCTGTGTAACAAAAACAAGGTCAATACTCAATAATGTCTCTTTACACAAGGCTGTAAAACGCAAATAAAGACTTGAAAATAAGATAGGTCAAATTCTGGACACGATGATTAATAGCTTGTTGACTTACATGACTGGCACTCTTCTGGTCCTTGAAGAATCGTAATTCGTAGTCTTTGAGGATGACGTAGTATTGTTTCCATTGCCTAAGACAAGAAGAATAGTATCAACAAATGTACTGTCAAATAGCCAAGGTGACACAACACAGTTGCAACTTAGCACTGATAAAATTGTGGGCCTCCATGTTTAATTAATTAATATGCAACCACTTGCAGATATTTTAAAGCAAAGGCAGCATCTTTTACTCTAATATTTTGGGACCCTGAGTCATGGTCTGAAAAGCTTGAACCCATGACCTTGCACACAATAGTCCAGTGCCAAACCACATGAGCTTCATTCCTGAATAAGATGACCATGTACAATGGAGGTTCCATTGCAAACTAAGGGACACAAGTTTAACAATCCTTTGCCGCTGCACACGGAATTCACTGCTCAGCCAATGCAAATGCTTGGACATTGCCATACTGTGTGCTCTGCCCCTGCCCCCCTCCCCCTCTGAGGTCCCTGGCTCTATACAGCTCTAGTTTTCCAAAATTCTGATTGGACTAACAGAATCAATGAACCGCAATCAACTATGTGTCAGTATCGTTCCGTGACCGTACAGTGTTATGTAGTTCATAATTTTTTCTCTCCAAAAAAACGGAATCTCATTAAGACTGTCCTTGCACAATTACCTGATGGCTGCTTTTCTGTTTGGACCATCCATGGTTGGTTTACGGTGAAGATATCCCTCATACTTAGCATCTGTCTCGTGCTCCTCTGTACACAACAAAACCATATATCTTATCGATCGGTACTACAAGAAATTTTGCAATCACTATATTGTTTAAATCATTTTATGCGTTATCTTTACACTAACGTAGTCTATACTAGTTTAAGAGCACGGTCATGCCTAGGTCACAGCACTGACTAGGTATGTCAGGCCAATCCCATTGAGCCAGAAAAAAATCAAAAAGGCACACATACGTCACTGAGTTTTTCTTAGTCATGAAAACTACTCTATACTTATTAGTTGCATGATTATGGTCACAGTGACTAGCTGCTTTTACATCGTTTTTAATGTCAGGCGAAGAAATATTCGACAATGTTCTTCATGTAAACTCCTAAAAACGGTAAAAAACCGTGCTTCTAAAGAAAGGTGGGAAGTGTTCGTAATAGTTAATGTCTTAGAAGCATGTACATACCCTGTCGTTCCTCCGCTGTTGGTTCTTGTGTAACGGACTAAAATAAAAAAAGACAGTCATTAATTTGGGAAGAGAGAGAAACACTCAAACGATCAATTTGTATTGAAGGAATATAAAACGCGCGCGCATTACATCTCAAATTTTCATTAAATTATTAGATGTATTTTTTCCGTAAGCTAATTTTCTCGGGGGGAAAAATCCGAGTTCCGGCTCCAGGCGAGATGTATATATTTTTCTTACCGCTTCAGCAGTTGCAGCAGCAGACGGAGTTATAGGTTCATCTTTTCCTTCTTCACGTCCTTGTTCTCTCCTTCTCTCTTCTTCCTCCCTCTGTCTTCTTTCCTCCTCTTCTTGTTTCAGCTGTCGCAGTTCTTCTTCCTGTCGTTGTTTTGCTTCGCGTTCCTCTCGTTCGCGTTCTTCTTTGATTCTCTGTTCTTTTTCCATTTGTCTGCGACGTGCTTCACGAAGTTCGAACTAAATCAACGGAAAAACTCGTTCGTTAAAGACATGGAAAATGAAAAAACTAAGAAATTCATTTTATCTATTCTAATAAAGCCTTTATAAATTTCTGTTCTTGAGGTAAGCTGCACTGTCGACATGGTTTTCCGAACTAGGCCCTGGCTAAACGAGGAAACATGTTTACCACGCGCATGTTTCCTCGATGTTTCCCAGTTTAGCCACATGCGAAACATTGCTGCATGCAACAAATTTTGCTTCCAAGACGCAAAAAAGTTTTTGCTGTGCGGCAGAAACATTTCATGTTTCCAAGACGCATGGAAACATTGTTTCCCGATGTTTCCTGACAGTTTTGCCACCTTAGGAAACATTTAGGGAAAGATGTTTCTGGAAACATGTTTCCTCGTTTAGCCATGGCCTAACCCTAACTGTCCTTTTAACGTTTATGTAATGCAATGGTGTCGAATCCCGCTCAAATTCAATAATTTTCCCAAAAATATGGCGTGCGGTACAAGCAGTCTTGTTAAGATTATCTCTTTCGTTTGACACAGCCACGAAAAACTACAGTACGATGCATACCATATATAA